TAGGCCTAGTAATAACAAATAAAGAAAATATTATCAGAGATATCACAGTAGGGGAAGAACTAGATAACAGAGACCACAGAGAAATCAGGCTCACCCTAAATTGGGAAACGAAAAACAATGACAATATGGTCAGAATCCCAAACTTTCGGTTGGCGGATTATCAGGGGTTAAGAAGGTACCTAGGTGAGGTCACCTGGGAACAGTCAGGTCAGTCCCCAGTAGGAAGGGGTGAGGTCATAGATGACACAACAATTGATCATGACTATAATATATCCACTAGTATACTACATAAAGCACAAGAACAAAATATACCACACAGAAAAATTAGGTGAAATAAGAATGAACCAAGGTGGGTGACCAGAAAACTTAAACATGACATGGGAATAAAGAAAGGAATATATAACAAATTAAAGGGAGGGGAGGAGCAGCTCAGAATTAGGTATAATGAACTATCTAGGAATGTTAAGTAAAATGTAAGGAAAGCAAAGAGAGACTATGAAATCAGAATTGCAAGAGAATCCAAGGCGAATCCCAAGGGATGTTTCCACTTATATAGAACAAAGGTCAAGGAAAAAGTTGGGCCCTTAAAGTCAGGGAGGGGGAAGTGATCAATAGCAGTGAAGAAATAAGAAAAGCATTGAACAGCTACTTCTTATCAGTTTTCACAGAAGAAATTCGCGGGGAAATTCCAGAGGTGGAATTGATATTTAGAGGAAAGGAAGAAGATAAATTAAAGAATAACACTATCAGGAAAGAAGATGTTCATAAGAGGATAAATACACTAAAGAAGACAAAATCCCGAGGGCCGGATGAAATATTCCCTCGAGTCTTGAAAGAGTATGAGAAACATATTAGCGGACCCCTCGTAAATTTATTTACAAAATCATTAGACACTGGAGTTGTGCCAGACTTGTGGAAAAAGGCAAATGTAGTACCCATATTCAAAAAAGGAGACAGAGCATCAGAGTCAAATTACCGGCCGATCAGTTTGACGTCAGTAGTGGGGAAATTTCTTCAATCAATTATAGCAGATAGCATCCGATCGCATTTAGAGAAAAGTAAATTAATCTACGACTCTCAACATGGGTTTACAAAGGGAAAATCTTGTCTAACAAATCTGCTGACGTTTTTTAGGAAAGTCTTCGAGGTAGTAGATAATGACGAAAATTACGATGTTATTTACTTAGACTTTAGCAAAGCATTTGACAGAGTACCTCATCAGAGACTTCTGAGAAAAGTTAAGGCTCATGGTATCGAGGGGAAAGTTTTAAATTGGATAAAATCATGGCTCACCGATAGAATGCAGAGGGTCAGCATAGATGGTGTTAAATCTGAGTGGGGCTGTGTAACCAGTGGGGTTCCCCAGGGGTCAGTACTAGGCCCACTCTTGTTCATAATCTACATAAACGATCTAGATACTGGGAGCACCAGTGACATAAGCAAGTTTGCGGATGACACCAAAATAGGGCAGCAGATTAATTCAGGACAGGATGCAAATTCACTACAGGAGGATTGTCATGGTTTTAGTATGAATCGGTGGTAGTATGAGTGGATTATATTATATAAAGATAATAATATGTCGTATTTCTTATTTCTTACCGTAGAGTTCGATACCTTCACACTGGTTACTTACAGGAGATTATGGCGTATCTACGTAGAAGTTCACTCCACCACTCGACATTCCATGATTTATACTTGATAAATGATGATTTAATGAATTCATTTAAGTTTCAACATCCATCTAAGTTACTGGTTATACTTTGTCATAACCAATCAGTCATTACCTTTAGTAATAATAAGATCGGATCACAGATACGGGCAGATAATTGCACTTACATTTATTTGTCAAGCTTCCATACAATGATTTACAATTTGCATGGATATATGATTCGCTCACGTTCACACTGTAATAAAATTAATCTTCTAAAACAGGGAATTTCCAACTTGGGGACACATGTGATTACTCTACTGTGGGTATGACTTAACAGAGTCTAATTCTTCAAGTGATACATATACTGTCAGCCTGGATTGCTTTTGTTACAACCAGGCTTCATCACAAGAACTTCTTTCCACGGCCATAACAACAAAAAGTACTCTTGGGTTACCACAAATAGTCTTGCGTCACTGACAATCACTGTAGACGGTTATCGCGGCAAGGAGAACTGGTAAGCGTGACTTGAATTAACCATTTAGGTGCAATAGACCAGCCTGGATTGCGTTTGTCGCAACCAGGCTTCCACACGTGATATTTCCACGGGGATAACAAACCTAGGTTAACACACTTAGTCTCGTGTCGATCACGGTCACTGTAGACAGGTGTCGTGCAGGAGAATTCTGTATGCGTGAATTAATTAACCATTTACTGTAGGTTTGATAGGCCAGCCTGGATTGCTCTTGTCGCAACCAGGCATCCACACGTGATATTTCCACGGGGATAACAACCTAGGTTAACACACTTAGTCAAGTGTCGACGACGGTTCACAGGACGGAGCCGCAGTGGAGGACTCTGTGTGGTGTGGTGTCTCGTCCCCTTTCAGGAGGGAGAGGATGGAGACGACGTCTTAACTAACCCATGGCTCAGGGGATACTCCTTAAAATGAGGTTTTTGGGTGTGAAGCGATGAACAATACAACATTGTTTCACTGCCCACCCCCCTAAAGGCTGGCTAACATACACTAATTGAAAAATACATGTCCCAGTTATGCCTCGCCGGGCGTCTTATCTCTGGTAAAACAAACTTTGGAGTTGGTTGCGTGGGTAAGCCTAACGCAACCCATGACAAGGATTTAAATAAACTGCAGGGGTGGTCTGAAAAATGGCAAATGAAATTCAACACCAGCAAGTGCAGCGTACATATTATTGGAAGAACAAATACTGTCAATGTATACAGCCTTAACAACATCAACCTAGAGAAGTCGACTTGTGAAAGAGACTTAGGGGTACTTGTAAGCCCGGACCTACGGCCTAGAAAACAGTGCGTTAATGTTCGAAATAAGGCAAACAGAGTATTGGGTTTTATATCTAGAAGTGTAAGTAATAAGAGTGCAGAGGTCTTATTGCAACTATATTTTGCGCTAGTCAGGCCGCACCTCGATTATGCGGTTCAGTTCTGGTGCCCTTATTATACAATGGATATCAATTCACTGGAGTCGGTGCAGCGAAGAAGGACGAAAATGATTCCGGGACTTGGAAACCTTCCATATCAAGATAGGTTAAAGAAACTAAACTTGCATTCCCTAGAAAGACGAAGAGTGCGAGGAGAAGTGATAGAAGTATTTAAGTGGGTGAAAGGAATCAATAAAAGGGATATCGATAAAGTTCTTATAATATCCGAGCAGGATTTAAGTTGGATAAGTTTAGGTTTAGGAGGGAGATAGGAAGGAACTGGCTCACAAATAGGGTGGTGGACGAGTGGAATAAGCTTCGCAACTTTATAGTAAGTGCTAGAACGCTGGAATGTTTCAAAAGGAGGCTAGATAGATTCATGGATGATAGAGAGTGGTAGTAACTCTCGACAGGAGCTGCCATGCAAAGGCCAACAGGCCTATTGCAGACTCCTTATTTTCTTATGTTCTTATGTTCCTAAATCATCATGTGTCACAGAAAGACTTCTGGTTGAAGCAAATTTGATTAGAGAATTGAATTCTATAAACCTTAGTGATGGTCAGTACAAAACTGATAATATGTTACACAAATTTATTTGTCAGTGGCCAAGGTTAAAAATGCTTTGAAAGTATTCGAGGTAGATGATTAGTGGGTCTCATATTTGTTACCTGACTTGACATGACTAGTTATGTCGCCCGTTCTTATAAGCTCTGACCTCACTCAGTTGTGCTCTGACCTCACTTGGGGAAAGGTCACGGCAGGGTTAGCTCCTGAGGGATAATTATCAGATATGGCCAGCGCTATGTGTGGTCTGGGGTCTGCGAGTTTGTTGGCCAAGCTGGAATGGGCCATGGAAGAATTGGAGAGGGCCAAGGAAGAAATAGAAAGGGCCACGTTGGAGAACCTGAAATTAAAAGAAGAGATGGCGAGATTGAAGGGGAGGCGGGACAGGGAAAGCCAGTGTCTGACGAAAATTCAAGAAAACCAGTGTCTGACGACAATTCAAGCGAGTGGAAGGTTGTAAGGAAAGGGAAGACCAAACTGGTGATGAAGAAACACACCAAGGTTACGTCAACAACGACATCAACAGCTAAGTGTACCAACTCGTTCAGTCAATTAATAGACGAATTGGACGTTACTACAGTTCTTATGTACTGGGATAATGCCTCCTCAATATTACCTTGTAATTTAATTGACAGTAGGAACATTATAGAATCTATTCTCATTAAACATATCGAAGCAGTAAACATGAATTTGAGTAATGGTATCTATAAACTGGACAATTTTGTAATTTAGAAGATTTGTAACCTGGTGAGAAGGTTGGGTCACCTTACCCTCTGACCTGGCTACCGACCGCTGCGGTGGTTATTAAAGATAAGTAGGGTCATTACCTAATACCTGACCATCGTGGACCTGATCTCACCCTCCTCTGTAGATATATATATATATATATATATATATATATATATATATATATATATATATATATATATATATATATATATATATATATATATATATATATATATATATATATATACACCTTGTTTTGTAGTTCTCCTTAGTCTGTATTGACCCCAGAAGATGTGAATTACACGAAAGCGCTTGGGAACTTCGTGTTTTCTTCTTTCCTTGTGGTTATCAGCATATACCTAGATCATGCGCACCTACAGAGAGAGAGAGAGAGAGAGAGAGAGAGAGAGAGAGAGAGGCGGAAAAGGGAAACAATGGAGCACCTTAGCTTTCGTCTTTGTTCAAGATATATATATATATATATATATATATATATATATATATATATATATATATATATATATATATATATATATATATATATATATATATATATATATATATATATATATATATATATATATATATATATAAGCAATTACTCTGAAGAGTACGGGTGATAAAGGCAAACTCGGCACGCACTTTCAAATACTTTGTGAGAGTCTCGTAGCCATCCTTCCACTGGTCCCATTGGTCAAAGCCCCAGTCGGTGAAGTGATCGGCATCCCGGGCGGAGATGTCAAGCCAGGTGTCTGTGCCTTCGTCCTTGTTCAAGTACTGCCAAAAAAGGTGGAGGACACCACATTAAGTGCCAGTGTACAGTACATAACCGAAGTGGGTGTGTGGGCCAGTGTACGTGGTCATGTCTGCAATGTAAAGTGGGTGAGGTACTTGTGATCATGTATGTGACAGTGTTGAGTGTGTGTTTGTGCTTTTGTATCATGTAATGCACATTATTGTTACACACAGAAGCACACACACACACATACACACCATGGCTTACAGACTACTTTAGTGATCGACGCCAAGCCATACGCTTCCGAGGGGCTGTCTCCACTTTTCTGTCACTCACCTGTGGCGTCCTTCAAGTCACCAAGATGGAACCGCTCCACTTCCTCATGCTTATCAATGATGCTCTAAAAGGAACCTCTGCTCGCTGGAAATATGTCGACGACTCCTCCATTGGGATTTCCTCCGACCTTGTCCCACCTCCCTCCATTTCTTTGGGCCCCAACATTCCCGGATGTGGCCTCCACTAAGCTCCTCGGCATCATTATAGATAACAAACTAAATTGGAAAACGCACGTCAGTGCAACTGTCAAATCATCCAGTTTTCATCTCCACCGCCTCCGTCGACTCAAGTCTCTCGGAGTTCCTGCGCCCGAGCTCCTCTTGATTTGCTGTCTGTAGCTAAGGATGAGGGGCTATTGTTTTTTGCTGGGTGGGAGTGTGGGGGAAACTTTAGGAATCTTTCTGGCGGTGGGTCAATAAATGATGCATTTTATGTGTAGATTTCGGGAATTATCTTGATTTTGAGATTGAAGATGTCCTACCTACATATTCTGACTTCTCAGCAGCTCCAGCTGGTACAAAATGTGCCAGCTGTGGTTGACTTTGATGTTGTATCAGTTAGCCAAGTACACCCCCACTATGAACTCCACTATTAGCTTGAGATTCTTCTTGTGCTTCCCCTTCAGTCCATGGTTAGACACCCACAGTCTGCACATCCTCAGTGCAGTTGTCAGCCACCTGCTATGACAGACTGTTGCTGAGTGTGGGGCCATCCAAGCTGATGATGAGGTGTCCCAGGCTCAACTCCCCAGTATGAAGGTCACATACTAATCAGTCTCGCCTCCTGCCCAGCTTGACCTTCACATAGTGCATTGCTCCTCCCTCTCACCCAGTGTTTACATTAGTGGAGTCCCCTCCCTCCGCCAGTCCACCAGATTGTCTGCAATAACACCTGCATGCATTCTCTCCTCTGTCGCCTCCTCAGGAACAAAATGCCGCAGGTATCTCCCTCCTGGCTCACTGCATACAGAGTAATGCAAGATTAAAGCGATCTCTGTTGCTTGACAAACGCACAAATGCTGTAGAAATGATCTAGCTACCTAAACACATACTACAGTGCATCAATGCGAAATCTTCAAAGCCAAATAGATATAGCTAAATAATATCCAATCTTGAAATTAAAGACATTTCTGAGCTTCTTGCACTTAAGTCTTCAGAATTATTACCTGCCATTTTCCTAAAAAATAATTAATGAAAATTAACACACTCTACAGTAGTGGGAGGGGAGAGGGGGGCTAGAAGTACTTTAGAGGTATTTGAGGGAGGGAGTTAGGAGAAGGTAAATGAGGGGGAAGTTTGATGGAAAGTAGGAGAGTAAAAGTATCCGGACTCAAGTAGATATGCTGCATTAAAAAATTCTTTGTTGCTCTTTTATACAACTAATTTAAGTTCTAGCTCTCAGGCCTTTGGTTTTTTTTCTCGTTCATGTTTGTCATTGCAGTAGCCAGTATATCAAGGAAGAGGTGACGATCTCTGGCCAGGTTCTTTATGGAGCTTTATGGAAGGGTTTGAAGAGGCTAAGGATAGTTTCCGTTAGTTACTCTCTCTTTTTTTATTTATTTTTTATAAATTGAAGCTTTAGTTTATAATAAAAAAAGGTTTTAGGAAGAAAGTGGTGTATGATCCAACTTGCTACTTTGGTTCGCGAGGAGGTGGTCCTATCTTTTTATATTTTAATTGAAGAGTGTGATGTTTTGTGTTGTCAGTGTTTTAATTGGCTATTCATTCTATGCCATTTTTTTGTTTTATTTTGTTATTGAATTGCGTTGAGGTTATTAGTTGTATCTTGGTATTGGTGCTGGGCTGTTTAGTCTTGTTCTACTCTATCTGAACCATGAATGTTCTCTCACTCTTCTTTCGATTTCTTTATCGAACCAGTGAGCTACAGCTTCTAACTCTCACTCCTCTACTGGCCCCCACGTTCTTTTAGCTTTGTCGTATATGTCTACATTTACTGCCTCGATGTTGGTTCTCCTGTGCAGTTCTTCGTTTGTTATTCTTTGTTCATATCTGATGTCATATATAAATCGTAGACATTTATTTGTTTTGGATCGTTGCCGTCTTTTGGAATGAAGATTATTTTAGCGCATTTGAGGGCATCGGGGAAGTAACCGGCTGATAGGGCTGAGTTGTATATATTTAGCAGTGCTTGTATTGGTCTGTTAGGTAGGTTTAATAGCATATTTTTCGAGTTATGTCACTTATTCCAGGCGATTTTTCTTTAAATTTCCGTAATCTGTGTAGTAGTTCATCGTGTCCTATGAATCTATTGGGTTTTAGTCAATCTGGATTCCTTGTATGTTAAGGCGGCAGTGTATTGTTTCACTCTCAGCCAGTCTTTAATGGTTTCTTCGTCACAGCTTTCATTTTCTTCTTCTGATATTCTGAATCTATTTTTCCATTCTCTACGAAAGGCCTCTTCTTTTATCCTGCTCTGTATAAAGTTCTTCTCCGTTTTGGTCTTTTATGTAGTTTACTGTTTGTGTTTGGTGCCAAGTAATATGTTAATATTTGCCACAATGTTTTTGTGTCCTTTGATGTATCTATGTTTGATATTAGACAGTTTCATTTTTCGTTGTTAATTATAATTGTTTCTTCTTGGAGGTCATGCTGAATTTCCCTTACGTTTCGGAGTAGTTCTCTAGTGGGTCCTGCTTGTTCTATATATGTCCTTGTATTACTGTATTGTACTTGTAGACTCTTTAATACTCCAGTGGGGTTATTACTTGGAAGGGTTCTGTATGTCATTACTGGGGTTGTTTGGTTGATCGCTTGCTTTATAGCTTTGTGTAGCTTATCTATTTCCTCGTCGATTTCTTCAAGTGTTGCTTGTTTTATATTCAGTAGAGGGTAATTTTCCAGTAGTTCTTTGTATTTAATCCAATCTGTTTGCTCATCTGGAGTCTTGTAGTAGAGCGGATAATGGAAAAATCGTGCAACTGGTGATACAAGCATGAAATTGGGCATGCTTATACCCTAGGGGCTACTTGTCAAATCTGCTTGATTGGCCATTTGGAAATCCAAGATGGCGGCCATTTTTCATGATGGCTGCCAAATTGACCTTTGAAAGATTTTTTTTTATAGAAATTGATGTAGTTGTTGGTCAATCTAAATGATCTTAGTGTCGATATGTATGTTTTCAAGCATGCTCAGACGATTTTTTTTTCTATTTCTCATACTCTCAGATATATATTTGTCTTATTTATGACTGGTTTTATGTACTGGTTTTATGTTTTTTCCAACTAGGTGAGGGTAGCATGCAGAGGGTCTCTGCATGTGAGACAGTGATTGTCGGGCACTACCAGGGCACACTGGTGACATCACTGCTGTGCAACCCAACATGGGATTCAGTGTCAGCTAAGAAAAAGCATGTCATACTGCAACGGCTTAGTGTCCCAAATGCCACTTAACCAACCCCAAATTACTTAAGCAGCCGCACCTGAATTGACAGGATGTGCCAGCGTGGGAGAGCCGAGCCAAGGATAACGGGGTTTTAGTTATCTGGATGGTGTACAGATTGCACGGGACTAATGACACTGGATGAACGATCGGACCAGGTGTAGGGCAAAAGGCATGAACCTAGTTGTATCCCATACAAGAAAGTGCTCATCAGGGTGGTAAAAGGATAAACCCTCGGCCCTGAAGATAAAAAATAGTTATGGACACAAAATCTACCAACAAATCATTCCTCACTGACTGGGCAAAGTGTTGTCTTTGTCAACAGGATAAGAAGGAAGATCTTAAGTCTCCACATGCAAATCCTGCCCAAAAAGGAGATGGCGGTTACAAGAGCTTGGCAAGGAATATTCCTCTATTTCATTCAATCACTGCACTGCCAATCAAGCTTGACCCTGCAAGACTTGTTGAAGATGATGGGATAGAGGAGACCTAGAGGAGAAACAAGGCACAGTATCATGAGAGTTGCAGACTTTTTGTTCAACAACACAAAGTTAAATAGAGCTCAGAAAAGGCGAACCTCTGCAGTTGCTACAGAGGAGAGCAGCAGTAGCAAGATACCACGAATGGTCAGAGACCCCAAAGCAACAGAATGCTTTTTATGTATGGAAGAAGCTTCAGGAGATGACATAAGACATGCAATGACAATGAAACTTAATAAAAGATTGAATGATTGTGCGAAGACACTTAGCGATGGAAAACTCCTTGCCAAACTAAGTGCAGGAGATGTTGTGGCACAAGAACTGAAGTATCACCCTCGCTGCCTGGCAGACCTGTGCAACCGAGAAAGAACACACCGAAATGCTCATGAGCAAGAAGAAGCACAAGAGCTTCATCCGAACAAGGACGCATACCCAACTGCTTTCTCTGAACTGGTCACTTACATCACTCAGATGAAAGCTTCTAGTGAAGGTACTGTACCACCCATTTTCAGACTTGCTGACCTGGTCGCACTCTACAGACAGAGACTTGAGCAGCTGGGTGTTGGATCGCCCGATGTTAATGCTACTCGACTGAAGGACCAGCTGCTTTTTCACATCCCCCAAGAAAAACAGATCCTCCTTCTTCAAACATGACCACGTTGTTGGCAGTTCCAAAGAGAAGGTACTGAAAGATGACTGTCAGCTGTTCTCGTGACTCTTCATCTCCAGTCAGAACAGACAGTATGACTTACAAGAATTCTTCAAGCATGAGAACCAGCCAGCTCCTGCCTCCCTCAGTGACAATGGCAGAAGTCACAGTTGGCTGAA